GCAAGGTATAAGTAGCCAGCTTGAAAGGGACAACTTGGACTTAGCTGGAGCCACACAGCAAGTGACGATCAATGAATGAGAAAAAAAATCCAAACTGACACAGCAATCGCAGCAGCTAACACTGAAGGAGATGAGACAAAGGGTAAAGTACGAATGAGCATGTTGAGAAACATCACACATTAAACATTTATTTTTCACCCAAAAATATGTTCCAGTATTAATTTTCTCTGTTAACCAAACTGATAATGCATCGATAATGTGAACCTATCTGGGACAGTTATTGCTATGTGGATAGGTTAGATCTTTGCAGTGTTTTCTGTCAAGCGTGCACAGGTTTTTTAACCATTTAAAGCCTGATCCAAGAATAAAACAAAACAGAAAATTACTTTTTTTTGGTTTGAATACCTTATTTGGCCTTTTAACAAAATATGCAATAAGAAAAAACAAAAATAATTGTTTAATATTAATAATGTATTACTATGCGATAAGTCAAGATTATTTTTTGTGTAGCCTTCTGCCCCCTGTTATCCGGTTTATCTGATTGTGTACAATATTATTTTGAGCAAAGTTTTTACGATTAAATTATGCAAAAGGTGTCAGCAAAACATTTCAGAAACCGTACGTATCAAATATGATACATTTGGCATTATAGGGTTAACCATGATGTTATTTAAAAAGTTATCCCATCTGATTTTTCAACTGTTTTTATGGAACTTCATCCAAATATTCAGAAAACATACTTCTATGAATCAAGTCTGTGTCGGTGGTTTCTTTCTAAGCATTTCACAGAGACACTCTCCTTTGTGTTTCCAGCATAGACGGAGCGAGTTTATGTTGAAGTCTTTATTGCACTGTTGCTCATGAGACAATGGGAATTTCTCTTTCAGTAATGTAACCCTCAAATGTATTGTTTACAACTGATGTATGAATTGCATTTGCTTGAACGTTCCCAAGTGGCCGAGCTACACATCTGTTTTTTTTGGTAAAGAAGGCATTTTGATGGCATGTGGAGGAGTCCCATTTTACTTTTTTTCTCTATTTTCTAAGTTTTTTTTTCATTGCACGGTACTGAAGAACCTTGAAGATGATTTCTTGAAGGCAAATCAAGCAATGCAATTTGTTGCTAGTAGCATCATATCACAAGAGCAATTGCCTTTTTCTTTTTTTTTTACAAAGTCTACCGGCTGGCGTGGAAAGATCTGAGCTTATCCAGAGATTGCTATACAGGTAGCAGTAGTATGAATGTCATCATAACAATGCCTCACTCCGGTGAGTATCATCAACATGCCAGTTGCCTGGCCGCCAGTTTTTGTGTGGCTCTCCAGACTGCCTCATGTGGCCCTCTTCAGGCTAAGGGCTTTGTTCCATCCATACACTTCTAACGTCGAAACCTCTCATGCCGCCGTTCTTGGCTCGATGATTGTATATTTGCGCGGAGAACTGACACTTTATGGCCATTCAGGATTCTGACAAATAGCAGGGTTTTTTTTTTTCAGCTGGGGCTCGTCCTCCGTGGGCTACCATTGCCTGATAAGGCTGTTCCATTCCAAGGGCTCTTTTTAAGTGGAAGAGGGTATTGATTATTACACTTAGGATACAGAGGGTGATTGGGTTCAATATCCATCATGGTGATACGTGCATAGGCAGAGAAAAAAAGAAGGGAGATGATTCATTAGCATCGGGAAAAATGTTCTGAGTTGGGCTTTTTTTGAAGTGGATTGTCAGGTGGAAATTGTTTGAATGCAACTAATAACGGACATTAAATACAAATCATAGAACTTTTGCCATGTCTGTGGGATGCTGACATGGCCGTAGTCAGTGTCTAAAGAAGATAAAAGTAAGTGTAAATAATCAATCGAATAATCTTGGGATTCTTGTCAATTTCTGGCAAGATTAAAAATGAATCAGAATAACTAAACATTAACTAAAATGACATTCCATCTGTAAGACAATATGCACATGATCATAAGAACTGCCAGTTTGCTCAGTGTGTTTGATTTGAGTCACTAATGCAGCTTGATTTCTGTTTAAAATGTTTTTATACTGGAGGCAACACAGCAGAAAGTCAGGATATATTGTACATAAAAACAAAGTCCATACTGTTCATCTCTGAACATAAAAGATAACAAGTGTTGACATCCATATGTTGTTCAATTCCCATTTTGGCCCCTGGACTTCATACTCCTTTGACTTACAATGATATATTGTATATCCCTTCAATAACATCTTCTTTAAAAATGCTTAACTAAAACCACTATGAAACCACAGCCGATGGCTATGATGTAAAGTATCCAAACAAGGTCATCTCAGGTGTTTGTGAATTGTGGTCGTTGCTGTTTTCTTTTTTTGCATTATCCTACGGGGCTTTCTTAGTATTGTGAGTTATTTTAAATGGATATCGTTGTCAGAAATATCTCACAAAGATGATTAGGTAATATAGTGATTTATTGTATGAGACTATATTCTCCGGTGTAAAGATTTCAGTTAGTGACAGTATTGACAGGAAAAGCTTTTTGTCCTTTGAAGAAAGATTTTGAGTTTTTTTCATTATTATTTCTTCTATTTTATTCCTAATGTGTTGCCAAACATAGTAACATAAGTGAATGACATAAAATAAGCAGCTTTGTTCTTTTTATGCTGTTGCCCCAATTAATTTGAGTGCTATAGTAGGGCACAAACCTTTTACTTGTAGATTAAATTTCCTATTATCAGTCTAAGACTTTAATAAAGAATCTGTAATTCAGGGTGGTATAAATATGTAATTCACACCATTATACCAGTTTGACAAACTTGCTTTTTTGTACCTGACGAGGTGTTGGAGAGCCATTGCCTTTCATCTGCAGTGTTTTTTTTTTTCCAGTGGATGGATGTTAAATGTTTGATTAATGTAATATCCTGCCCTTTTTTTTGTCTCCATCGACTTTTCCCCGCCAATGAATGCCTGCTGTGTTGATAGAAGGTAAAGGCAAGTGCATTAGAAACAAGCTTAGCAAACAAATTGTGACATTCAGAATCTGCGGGACTTAAATAGGAAAACTGACCTCAATCAGAATCCAACTTTACTCATTCTGATGAATGTTTTCCTTTGCAGCTCTAGCCGAGGAATTTGCAGCAGTGGCTTAAATATATAAGTCAAATATATATATATATATAGATATACATATATTAGGGTTGTCACGATACAAAAATTTTCAACTCGATACCGATACTCAGGAAAATACTCGATACTCGATACCATTTTCGATACCACGAGGATAAAAACAAAGACCCCAACATTTAACTGAATTTTGACGGGTTAGTGTCTTTGGTTTCAAACTGACTGTTACTGATGTTATCGTGGCCCGTATTAATAACCCTAATCCTAGCCCTAACCCTGACCCTAACCCTGACCCTACAGCCTTCATAATTGTGAGAAATAAATATTTTTTGGTTAAACTTGTTTGGACTTATTCTACAAACCTATTCAACAATACACTATTTTGCCTTAATATTATGGATACAGTTTAATTAAGTGTTCGAAAGATTAATTTCACTATTTTTAAATTAATGTCTATATTGCCATGAGGCATTACCATTTTCTTGCCTGGGATCTCCCTATTGGTGACTTGGATGTGGGCGGAGTTAGATATGTACTTGATTAATGGTAGCATGTTATTATTAGCCATTAGCCGAAGCTAGCAGTTCAAGGCTAACGTCTTGTTAATGATCATAAACAACGTAAATAAATAAATAAATCAGAGAGAAGGGGGGGGGGTATCGATACTTTTGAAAATGAGTATCGTATCCGAATACAACATTTTAGTATCGATACTTTTTCGAGTATCGATACTTTTGACAAACTTAATATATATATATATATATATATATATGTGTGTGTGTTTGTGTGTGTAGGTGTTATCAGTGCGTTATCAGGCCACTCTCACAGTCAAAGAAGGAACTCTGTTTTAAGAGAACAACCAAAATTGTAATTCGGGTCTTGGTGTTGGGTCTTGTTCCACTGATTTTCTTGGTAAAACTAGTTCAGGAATTATACTGTTTGGTAATACTGGGACATTGGGTTTGTTTTCTCTAAGCTGGCGATGGCTTCCTGAGGTGTTCTGGTTTTCTCCCAGTCTCGCATGCATACATTTTTGGGCTGAACGTGATTCTACACGGGCTTTAAATGCGAACATGGCTTGTCATCTGCATGTGTTGGCTCTCTGATGGACTGGCGATCTGTCACGCACTTACCTTGCCTCTTGCCTAAGGTCAGCTTCCGCCTCCCACATTCTCATTATACAACATAGATATTTTTAGCAGGACTCTGAATTTATGTCCACGACAAATCGAAAAAAGAAAAGTCAACAACATTCTTGTTGCTTTTACTCACAAGTTAACGAGATTTTGACTCATGGCCAAAAAAGTGCTTTGCTTAACAATGACAATTTTACATCCCGTCAACTAGAATTTCCTTGAATGCAAACTAATTCACTTTACAAACCATTTTGTACATGTTTGTGAGCAATCAGTTCAGGTAGACAAATAGCCTCGAGGTTTCGTGTGCCTGGGTGACTATGATTTGATTGAGGATGTCATTTGAGATCCATAACACAGCCCGAGTCACATCATATCCAATATTTGCCCTGAGAGTCTACTCTGCTGTATACAAACAGATATAAAAGAGGATGGGATTATTATTCAAATAAATAAGTAGAAGAAAAAAGAAATTATTCATACACATCTGTGCCTTATCTGCTGTGGCCTTTCTTCACAGTCTCTTCACTGGTTTCTTTCTTCACAATCATCATAACACAAAATAAAAAATCCCCTTCGCTTTTCTTGTCTGACCAATATTTTTAAATGTGCAGAACCTCTACTAGCAATGTTTTAGAGTCCACAGTTTGTGATAAAAGAGTGCATCACCCTTTAGCTGCCATGACTAATATAAGATAAGATTGAGGCACAGGTTACAATGCGTCTGAGTCACTAACGTCTCCGGCCGGCTCTTTTTTTTCTTGCAGGTTTTGATGACCGGGACTCAGACCTGTTCTTGTGTGACACCAACACGTGCAAGTTTGACGGGGAGTGTCTGCGAATTGGAAACATGGTGACATGCATTTGTGATTTCAAGGTAAGGCCTGCTGCCTGTGTTTGCTGCCTTTGTACTTTTTTTTACCTTTCCATTTTCAATCACCTTTTACAAACTCTGAAAATATCATATTCCAATTGCAGCACATCTTCTTTATTAACTCAGACAACAGGAAAGGGTTTCTCATAAGTTAGAGTGAGGATAACACTTAAGGTTTTAAGTGTAATGCTACTAGCATTATTTCTGTAGTTAAGTTATGCACAAATTGTTGAAAAATGTTACAACTTTTCATCAGAAAACGTAATAAAACCATATAAGACTACCTTTGTCAACTTGTTTTCTCAAAATGTTGTAAAATGTTTTAGACAAGATAGGATAGATTTTTCAAACAAATTTTGGAATTGACTAATGCCAACATCTGCTAGTCAAATTCTGTGTCTGAAATCACCAATTTTCCCATAAAATGCTCAAGAATACAGTTTTCCTTTCCAATTTAATGTACCCATTTCAGTGTGTTGCATCATAATAATCAGTATCCATACACTTAAAATGTCTTAAATGGATACATTTATTTTGTGACATGGGCAAATAATCCCACATTGTTATGCACCACATTATATATAGAACCTGGTTCTGGATTGGAGCAAACATTATTAAACAATTAGTTTTACAGGGTTTTTGTACATATTTCTGGAATTGTTGAATAGATACATTAAATGTATTACTGTTATTTGGGCCAATTCAGAATTGTAATGCAGCATATTTATGTATTGTATGTTTATCAGGGATCTTTAATATGCACAGCATTAATTGAAGGGATCAAGCCACAAGCAAAACACATAAAGGGTGTATATTTGAAGTTGGAAAATTACACAGATTCAAATGGTCACTGGGTATTCTACCTGTTTTTGTAGATGTAATACCTCTCATGCTATACAATGGTTTCTCGCAACAAGTCTTCTGCATAAGATCCTTTGAATATCGTGGTTTGCAGAGTGACATGTATAGAAGGTGCTTTTGCTCATGTATCGTTCAAATGCTTGACTGGATTGGGCTCTTTGGATTGGATGTCAGGTCAATGCAAGCCTTCCATTTGGGATCCTCAAACAGCAGCAGTTTTGCTACTTTGAAAGGTTGCTGCCATTTCATATTTCATCTCTGTTCTGTACAGCAGGGTTTGGGGTTTCCCATAAAAAAAATGCTGTTCCGCAGAACCGTAAATAGACATTATCGTAAAGTCCCTATTGGAAGTATAATTAGATTGACCAAAATCTGTTTACTAAAGTAAAAATATTGGTCACAAGGGATGGTGGTTGCATTGAGCACAATTTATAGCCCGTGGCTGAACTCTGTGTCACAATCCTGTAGCACTGTCTCCACATTCACAAAGAAAACCGTTTCATGCGGATCAAAAATTGAAAAGCTTCTGTAGAAATTTTGCTGCTTGCTTAACTTTACAATCCGACATCAAATAAAAAAAGGAGCGAGCCAGTTAGCGGGCTATTGATTTTGGTGTAACATTTTCCGACTTGGCTGATGAGGAGCCTCAGATAAATGAATCCACTGAGGTTTCAAGACGTAGTGCGCGCTCCCATCCGTCGCTTTTATCAGCACGTCATCAGTGCAAGCAGGCACTAGGCAGGCTGACACTCGATTGGCCAGCTTTTATCTCAATTTCGTGCTTCTCCGGGAGCAAACGTTAACAGAGGCCTGCAGATAAATGACATTACAGCTCCATTCCTCTTCAGGAGATCTCGCACTGATACCGTCGTCATTGTGCGCCGAGGCACTCCACTCTCAGAAAAGAGCAGGTCACACCACAGTTTCTGGCTGGATATCACGAGTCGGAGTTTAACTCGGCCGCGCATCTTCAGTTTTTGTGTGTGTGTGTGGAGGGAATCCCGATGTCGCCGTCTGTATTTCGTCGGGCAGAATAAACATGACCTCCCAAGCCGAGCAAGTGTTGCAGTGCCCTGAAGCAATCAATCACTCTCCATCAGTGTCAGATAAATGGGTCCAAGATTTTTGTGCGACTTACAATTTATTCAACAAAGTCAGTTGTAGAAAAGGAAGTTGAATAAACTCTCATTCAGGATGGATTTTGCTCAGTTCTATCAGATTCTATGAATGTATGTACACATTCTCTCTCACACAGAGACGCATACATAACAGAATGAAGAAAAAATCCAGAGGAAGAGGCATACAAATGCCCTGTGAAGAGGAAGTGAGTTTGATGTGGTTGAATCAATGGACACTATTCATTCTCAAGATCCACTAGAGTTGCCGCACAGTTTTCTCAAAGGAACCAAGATTTTCCTCTCCCCGTTTGGGCGTTAAACTCCTTCAAAGCCACATGCTTTTAATAATTTTTTTTTGTATTACTAAACTCCAGATAACCACCTCAAATTTCCTTGTAATTCAAGTCACAAAAGCTGTGGGAATAAACTAGTCTCACCGATGTGATTATGTTAATGTTGGGTCACATTGCTGATTCCCAAAGGGGTAGCCCGCTCTAAAAATATGTGCACTCACGGAACTGTGAAACACTTCCACTAAAACTGTCCACTGAAAGGTAAACAGCATATTTCATTGCTCTCAGTACTGATGCAATATGTTCTAATGACACTCAAAACACACACCTTTGTTGTACTTTGGGGTAACTATAATACAGAAGCCTCTACTTACACACACACACACACACACACACACACATATACATATATATATGTGTGTGTGTATTGGGAAGTTTGAATGCTTCTTGTTTCAGGTCTGACTGACCAACACTAGTTCTGTCTATTGTCTAACACAATTTATACCCTGATTTCAATCAATCAGACTGGGAATTATTTAACTTTCTTTATCTTAAAATACCTGTATCAAATCCAGTTAACCACTAAAGCCTTATCAATTTACTTAATCTCATCCCTGAGAAAATGTGTGATAGATTTACAAATTGACAGTGTAGAATTTGATGTGTAGAAGTTGTTTTCTTTCTTTCTTTCTTTTTTGTCTGTTGTCTATTGGCTTTGCAGTTATATGTGGACGTTCCATTTTCTCCCAAGAATCGCTCACTGACGTTGACGGCTCGAGGGGTTGTTAGTGTTATAAGTCGCAGGACTTTCAACTTTCATTTCAGTCGATGTGAGCTGCCATATTACCAGACGGCTTGAGAGCCACAGCGTGAGATTAGGACTGGGTTTCTGTTAGCTGTCCACTCTAAACCAGATCTGCAAAGGTCCCAAAGGGAAAAAATGAAATATGCCAACGCCATTTTTTTACATTGTGTAAGAGGACTGTTAAGAAGGTAGATTAAAAAACTATTGCACTTTGACATCCTGGGCAGTTGGTATGCAAAGGAATGAAAGAAATACACACAATTTGCAATTATACACATTTATTTAGCATTATTTTCAGAATTTTTCTGGTATTTTTTAGACTTGTTGGTGTTCTCAGTCTCTAGCTTGGCTTGAGCATCATATCTCACGCTCTCCCTGCAAAATATCTATTTACCATTTATAAAAGAATTTAGGATAATGCTAGCTACACATTTGGCCTTCAATATGCTCCCTGCTGGTTCTTTGATGTGGCTACTATTCGCTGTAGTGCCTGACCTCAAATTGCTCTCCCACTTTTCTCTGCCGGAAGCCGTATAATGTTAGGCTTCTGATGGCTGGAACGCCAAAGCTCGCAGCACATCAAAGAGGGATGCAAGCTAATGTGGGTTCTTATGATGTTGATGGTCGAGGAGAAGGGCAGCCCGTCCTTCATATTGCCCCCGTGAAACAAGAACCCGTGAAAACGTTTTGATGCACAATTTTCGAAATCACACATACAGGAGGTATCAAATGCTGCTATGCTCCTCGGACATTGTTCACACTTGATCTGTCCTCTTCCTCTCTCACTTTTCCTGTCCTCATCCACACACTTAAATCTTTACCACCACTCGAGCAGGGTAATTATAAGAAATATATGAAATACCTATGATTAGACAGATGCAGTCATGTGCACACAAACCCAGGTGGTACAGATAGCTTGTGATGTAGACCCCGTTCCATATATTTGCATTCATTTATGATCCTTTTATCAGGGGCCATGTGAACCGTCTGGAGTTTTGGAATAATGTTGAATTTATTTTCAGATGGAGGCCAGTATAAATGGATACCTTTGCAAGGGGTTACAGAAGGGACTTTGTTGAAGATGTAAGAGAGGACGTTGTTAAAGATGTAAGATGAGAGAGATCAAGGCAACAATACAACTGATGGATGATGGAATCAGGAGGCAACAAAGGTCACACAAGTATATTAGAAATTCACACCTGGACTCAATGACTGGACACAATCTCTTGTCAACACTAATACCTTTTCAACAGCATTAACCCTTACAATTTAGTTTAATCCATTTATAACCCCTTTTACCCCACAAATATTAGATATAAATCTGATGTATAATTTTATGTCGCTACTAGACTGGATTGGTAATGTTGTTTTTGAGAAAGTTCATTTCAGCTCTCACCCAAAGGGAGTCATCAGACTGAGACACTCAAACCAAACTTAATTCTACCCATAATCAGCATCCCTAAGTAATCATTCCTCAAGTTATCAGTAAGATGCCAAGTACATCTGCCCTCATCCAATATTTTGTAATTCCGGGAATCTGTGAAGTAGTGCAGCTGTTTGCTGCCAAGACCTTTGACTTTTTTTTCTGAGCCATAGTATCACATAAATGGGAGTTTGGGACTGATGTTCCACACTGGCTGCTGTCATGAAGGTAAACTGGGCTGTTTAGTGTTGCCAGAGGGTGGATGCATAAACTATGTTTGCCAGTTGTTGTAATTCAGTAGATGTACTTGTCCTAACTGGAAACAAATGATGAAACAACTCCCAAACAATAATGGTGGGGAACACCCACGAGCGGAAAATGAAGATAGCTGTTTTAACAAAATGACTTAAATGGCAGAGAATATATAGAATGTGCAATCATATCAATTTAGATTATCTCCAAAACTGAATTAACCATAATTAGCCAGGCCATGGATGACTTGT